TTCAATTTGATCCACTCTTCAATTTTTATCATTAATCAAAGGATCAAAGAAATTGTGGTGTAGATTTATAGGCAAACACTAAGTACTAAAATTGAAAACAAAAGACAGAGCACATACCATAAAGAAAGCTCGCCAGACTTCCAGGCGAGATATAATCAGACAAAATCAGCTTCTCATGCTGTGACGGTCCCCAATAATACCCTCTCAACCCCACAACATTCGGATGCCTAATATTCGCAAATTTCTTTGCCTCCTTTGCAAACTCCTTCTTCGGCTTCGCTACTCCCACTCTTAACCACTTCACCGTCAAGAAAACCCCATTATCGAGAATAGCCCTATAAGAGGTCCCGTGGATGCTCCTCCCTAAAACCTCAGCTGGGGCCCGGGATAATTCCTCAGGTGTTAACGTAATTGTCTCGTCCAAGAAATACAATTCTCCTGCTAGTCGATCTGGGGACCTAACATCTAATCTCCCTATGGTTTCCTGTGGGTAACTCTCCCCAGAGCCCGGTGACCATGACAAACCACTGGTCTTTGATGGTGAATAGCCTTTACGAGGAGCAGCCTGTAAGTCTTCAGCTGATAACACTAGTGGCCTTGAAGTAGCAGTCCCCTGAAGTGTCCTTCTTTCTAGGGTTTTATCGGTGACTTTGTCTGAATGAGACCCTCTTGAGATTTTCTTGCAGTGGGCAAAAATGGCCAAGAGGATTAGTATCACAACAACAGCAACGCATGCTCCTACAATTGCTATCTTGATAGAAGTCTTTAAATGTTTGTGTCGTATCCTGGATGGAGAAATACCAGTACCAGAAGGACCAGTTGGGGATTCTAACCTAGAATTTCCTGGATGGAAAGAGGAATCTGGGAATTTCTGAAGATTTGCTGGAATTGATCCTGATAGATCATTGTAAGATGCATTGAAAAATAATAGAGTGTTAGGTAGCGTCGTGGGTAGCGGACCAGTGAACTGGTTGAGGGATATATCAAGAGAAGTGAGAAGGATGAGATTCCCAATGGATGATGGCAATGGACCGGAGAAATTATTTGCTGAAATATAGAGTGCTTGGAGACGAGTTAAGGACACAAGATCCTTAGGAAAAGTTCCATTGAAGTGATTTTTGGAGATATCGAGAAGTTGAAGGTCGGAATTTTTGGATGATGACAGAGAGAACATAATACTTCCCAAGAGCGAATTGTTCCCAAGATGAAGTTCTTGTATTGTGGAGGATGTGAGCAAGTCGGTTAGTATAGGGCCACCAAATTTGTTTGAACTAAGATCAAGGATGGTTAACTTTGGATATTGCATAAGAACTTTGGGGAGAGAGTTTGATAGAGCATTGTGGGAGAGGTTAAGATAATTAAGACGCAAAAATTGTGATGCTTCATCCGGCATTGATCCTGTCAATTGATTTTGACTAAGGTTAATGTATTCGAGGTTATCTCCCCATTTTGAAATAACGGAGAGATTTCCAGAAAGTTGGTTTTTTGATAGGTCCAACACCCTACAGCTCCCTATAAGCATTGGAGGATCACCAGAAATTGCATTTGAAGAGAGATTTAGGACTTGCAGAGTTGTAGATGTGATCAAACCTATATGTCCTGTGGAAGTAACAGTAATATGTGGACTTTTACAAGCTAAACATCTTAAGAAATAACCAACAGAAAAAAAGTAGACTATAAAATTTTGCAATTCCGATGTGAAAAATATAACAGATGCATGCTTTTTGCTATGTTCAAGATAGAATCCTATCACGGCATGTTTTTTTTTCGCGATTTGAGTTTGAGCTATTTCCACAGCTTGTTAGTGAACCATCAAAAGGATGACAAGATTAGATATATGCATGAAGATTACATTGGTTTGGCTACCAATCGGGAGAAATAACGACTACATTATATATGGTTTTGATCCGTTTATGCTCTTTCGGTTTTTCTTTTGGGTTTAAGGTTTATTCTTAGTGGGAATGCTATTGTAATGCATCCAGAGTAGTTCTATAATATCCTAGATTTTCTAACGTGCCTCTGGAGAATAATCTCACGTGACCACCCTTGTAATCGTTTAATGACTTTTCCTGCCATCTACTTAACAACAATCACAGGATCCGCACG